CCCCCCACCCACCGCAGGGGCACAGCGGGGTCCGGGCTGAGCCCCCACCTGCATCGTCTCCGACCAAAGTCTGGCCCCATCTCCCGCGGCGAAGCCCCGCTGCCCTCAGCCTCCCCGGCTGCCCCATAGAAGCCACAGCTGCATCATCCCCCGTGATCAACGCTGTATATGATATTTATGACCTGAATACATACCTGTATGTGTGCATCCGCAGGACACCTCCCCGGGGCTTTCGGCGCGCTGGCCGTCCCCGGCGCCTGCGCGTGTCCCTGCCTCCCCTCCCACAGACCCAAGGCGAGGGGTGACGGTCCAGGACTGGAGGTAAGTGGGGGGTCTGAGGGACGGTCGCCCTGCGCACACGCTGTCCCCCAGCCCGACCCCGGGGCTGGCGGGGCGAACGCAGCCCCAGTCGCCCGTAGTCAGCGTTAGGACGGAGGCAGATGCTGGAGCCTGGGGGTGCTCCTGGCTGTAAAGCCGGGGAAGGCACACAGTGTGTCCCAGCGCTCCTCTGTGTGTGTGTGTGTGTGCGTGTGCACCTATGGGCACATGTGTGTGCGGGGGGGGTGTGTGTGTGTGCACATGTATGCCTCTGCATAGCACTCTGGAGCCTTCCACGTTGAATGTATGCAGCGAGCGAGGGGCCACGGGCCAGCCCCCCCCAGCCACGCAGCCAGCGGGACAGGGCCCCGCTCCACGCGTCCACCGCTCCATCCAGCCCATCCTGTGCAATAAACGTCAGCAGCTGACAGAGCTACGCACGACTCCGTCTCTGCTTCTTCGCCACCGTCCCTCCCTGCTGCGGCTCCGGCTGCTCGCGCTCCCCTCGCCCAGCCCTGGGAGCTCTGCCACCGGGCACAGCCCCAGGTCGGCTGCAGGAGGCAGCTTTGTCCTTTGAAGAGCTGTTTCCCTGCCAGAAAAATGACAAGGTGAAAAGAAAAGCCTCCTCCCAGAGCCTTTCCCCTCGCTGGCAGCGCCGTGTCTCTGCTCCGGCACCAGCGCAGAAGGAGCTGGGAGCAGGCTGAGCGCTGGCTGAACACACAGCTCCAGCTGCAAGACCTCCAAACACCAGTTGCTGCAGGAGCAGCGCACACACACGGCCCTGTGCGGAGGAGGGCTGGAAGGCCACAGGAGGCTCCTGGCTAGAAATGCAAGGGCCAGACAGCCCCAGGCAGCCCCTGCGAGAGCCCTGCTCCCCCTGCAGCTGTGGGAAAGTTTTGGCTCTGTTTCTGCAACAAAAGCATTTCCAGAATATTACACCCCTGTGAATAACTGAAGCCAAACCATCAGCAAAACAGCATCAGTCTGGGGAAACATCATCCCATCTCCCCAGGACCTCAGGCAAAGATGCGGCGAAGGACACAGTTCCCATCTAGTATTTCAAAAAATCACTTTATTTACAGTATCGTACACCTCCACCCCCACGTTAGTGGTTTTCTCTACCTGAGACCCAGTGAGCAGAATTGAAACCAATCCCTGGAAATAAGAGGCAGGAGCCGCAGAGGCTGTGCCACAGGACAGCGGTGACAGTGGCCCGCGGCTGGAGCGGTGCACGGAGAGCAGCGCCCGCTCCGCAGCAGAGCAGTGGCCGCGGGGGCTGTGTGCCCCTCCAGGCAGGGCCTCACGCTGCAGGAGGTCTGAGAAGGACAGAGAGGGATGGCGCCCCAGGACAGGCGCTGCCCGGTCAAGCTCCGGAGCTTGCAGCAGTGGCAGACGCGTCCCTCGTGCCGGGGTGAGGACCGGGGTGAGGACCGAGGGGAGCCAGCCCCGTGTACTGCCACCCCTTCCACCCCACACCAGAGAGGTGCAGCCCTCCCCAGGGCTCGACGCCCTCTCCCCGTGCCCGGCCGCAGGCAGTAACAGCAAACAGTGCAGGCACCCTGTCCCCGACTCGCCCCCCGGGGCTGCCCCTGCTCTCCTCGAGGTGTCCCAGTTTGGCCCAGCGTCTCGCTGTTGGGCACGTGTCTTTTGCTGTACCCGCCGTCCCCGTGAGACGCAGGACGGAGGAGCCTCACGGGCCAGTGCCAGCCACAGCCTCCGGGGCAAGCGGCAGTCCAGAGGTAGTCCAGGGCCCCGCTGGCTGCCGGGGCTCAGCTGAAGAAATAGGTGGAATCCATCACCTTCTTCAGGTTGAACTCACCTGGGGGAAGGGAGGGAGAGGTCAGAGGAGGGCAGGGTCAGGGCAGGGTGGAGATGGGGCACCTGGAAGAGAAGCTGCCCCGAGCCCTGCTTCAGCGTCCCGCTGAAAACTACTTCAGCTCAGCCCCCGCCGCAGGGTGGGCAGAGGCAGCGGGGATCTCAGAGGTCTTCCAGGAACGGCTGCTCCTCCTACCACCATCCCGAATAAGTTTGGAGGGACAAGACAGAAGAGCGTAACAGCAGGAAGGTGGGGAAAGAAGAGAGGAGCACACGGCCTCAGGGTACAACCCATCCCCGCCACTGCCTTTTCCATGTGCTGACCACGGCGGCTGCTCCACCGCAGCGGAGCACTGCCCTGTGCCGCTTCGCAACGGCAGAACAAAGGTTAGCCAGATGGTCTGGCAGAGGCAGGCCGAGAGATTAGAAGGAGTTAAACTAATTGCCTTAATCCCATTGCATGTATATCATCTAGATCCCGGCAATTACCATGCTGAGTGCCTCACTCCCATCTCCAGGCAAATGCTTCGTGGTCGGAAACAGATGGGAGAGGAAGAACAAGACGGGGGACGGGATGAGCTGGGTCAACCTGGGGGAGATCCCAGGGGCTCCGCTCCGGGGAAGGCAGGGACTGCTCACGGGGAGGCTACAGGGGAACGTCTCAAGGCACTGCCCCGCGGCTCCGCAGTCCGGCACAGGCAGGAAAACCCCATCTTAGGGGACAGCTTTAGCAGGGCTGGCCAGAGCCTCACTGTCCACCTTCAGACAGCACATGAGCTCAGCGATTTTGGGGGCCGTTCTCCATCTCACTCCCCATGTCTCCAAACTGCTCCCAAGGTTTGCAGTTCCCACCCTGTGGTCCTACCTGTCTGGGGGACATTCGACAGCTGCTCCATCAGTTTCTTCTGCCAGAGGGCTCTAGTCTCTCTGCCGGGGCTGGATGAACCAGAAGGAAAGCAAATCAGCATGGGACCTCTGGGAGAAGGTGCACCCTCCTCTGCTCCCTGGTGCAGGGCCCTGATGACAGCCTTCAGCTCCTCCCGAACACATCACGCACCCCGCAGCGGGAGCGCAGCCCCTGCCACAGCAGCCCTCGGCGGGTGCCAAGGCATCTATAGACCCTGCAGACGTCTGCGGTTTGGCTCTGTAGCGGTAACTCAGGTCCACGCACTGGACCGACCCAACGGGTCTTCACCATTCCTTACTGCCTCGTTCACAGCGGGGAACCCAAGGCACAGGCATTATGGCCCACCAAGGGATTCAAGCGCCAAACCCTACTTCAGTTCTGCAGCTAAAGGATGCAAACACCTTGTTTTTCACACGGAGGCCTGAGGCAATTTGGGCACCACTCAAGAAGGAAGCACAACGTCCCTCCAGAGCAACCCCCGGGCAGATGAGCATCAGGACACAACCAGCCCCAGGAGAAGGAGTCGGAGCGGGTAGGAAGGAGCGTGGTGAGGAATACCTGCAGTACTTCTCCAGCATGAACTCAGACAGATCCTGCAGGATCTTCTCGCTGTGCAGAGCCACAAATTGCTGCCGACAGATCTGATCCAGGGAGCAACGGTGAGTCGTACGTTAACAGGCGTTTTCCCCTCCTTCCCCTCAGCGCTTCTCAGCCAAGACAGGTCAGAGGTGAGGGGCAGGGAAAGCAGCGGGCAAGAGTGGGAAGGGGGGACTGCCAGACAAGGGTGAAGGCAATCAGCCCGGGGAGGTGGGAAGCAGAGGCTGACCCTCATTTAACAGTCTACTGTACAACAGCTCTCGCAGCACTGCAAGGGAAAGGGCCCAGGGCTGGACGGAAGCACCGACTCTGCCAGACACTGTGTTTAGCACTGATTTACTTGCACAGATTCTCCCTCACACCCTCCTCGATGGGTGGGAGGAGATGGGACTATGGCACCAGGAAATCGGCTGCAGCCGCCAGCAAGGACCCCAGGTTCACCTCGCCCGAGTGAATAAATCAGTCTACGGAGCAAAGCCCAGGGGAGGGAAGGGCTGGCAGGCGCCCAGAGGACAGATCAGCAAGATCCCTGCTCGCGAGGGACCCAGGAGGACGCTTTTACCTGGTTCATGACGTCCACAGTGAGCGCGTGAGTCCAGTAGCAATCGTGGACCGAGACGAAGGTCAGACCCTGCCTGGGAGGCAGCAGAAGGTGCCATGAAGGAGTGCTGGGAGTCCCATCTCTGCAGCGTTCCCTGTCCCATGTGGGGATATCTCCTTGCTGGGAGACAGGCGGGGACCACGCGAGGAGGGGGACTCCCGGCACAGCGCCTGCGGATCTTCAGAGAGGGACGGCTAACCCCACGATCTCCCTGTCCCTGCCCTGCTGTCTCCTCTCAGCCCTTCTCTGCCAGAAACCCCAAACACCACCCACCAGGGAAACCTCTTTCCCACATGGCACGCCTTGCCCTGGTGACGCTCTCCCAGCACAGAGTGAGTCCCGGAGCCAGGGAAGAGCCCCGGCTGCCCGCTGCCCACCTGAGGCAGTGCAGAGCCGTGAGCATCATGTGCGTGGAGTCCAGGGAGTGGATGAAGTTGGGTGGGAAGGCGTTCTTCTGCTTCACTGTATCAGGCTTCCTGCAGCACAGAATGGGAGGCGCGAGGAGCTGAGGCCCTTCCAGCACCAAAGATGAGAGCGCAGCACAGAGCCAGTGCCAGCCAAGACCTGGGGCTGGTGGGGGCGGCCCTGGAGGGCCCCGAGGCCCTGCTGAAGAACAGGGCCCCGTTCCTCCCGCTGGCTTTTTGCAGCTCAGGGGGACACCAGGAGCTTTGGCACACATTGGCGGGTTCCACTGATGGGAAGGCTTTGTCCCCAGAGCACAGGCTGGGGACAGTAGGGGCTCGGTAAAGACCGTAATGTCATACTTACTGGCTGCCGCTGGAGTTTTTCACACTCAAGTTCTGCATGCTGCAATTCAGCTGCAGGAAAAGAGAGAGAGGGGATCAGCTGCCACACCGCACTGCCTGGCCAGCACACGGCACTCAGCGCTGCGCCGTACCTCTGGAGAGGGGACCGTACCGCCCACGAGCTACTCTGCTCTGGAGGAAACATCCCTGGCTGCAACACAGGGCCTGGGCAGGGACCTTTCCAGGGCATCCCAGCCACCACGGTCACTCCTCAGTGACACCTTGCCCGCTTCCCCTCCTGAGGATGCCGGCAGACATCCT